AAAAATAAAAAAAAAAAAAAAAAAAAAAAAAGATAAAAATAAATGAAGGAGAGAAAAATAAAAATAAATTGCAGTGAGTGATCTTGTCTATTTTCTATCGATAGTTCGAGTCTATATTATTGTTTATATTCACCTATCGTCCGTAAGAATGAGTACCATTCACATTGGATCTATGTAACTTTGCTGCATTGCTATTGCATTTATGTTTAATTGATTACGGGTTTTCACGCTGGTTCTGATTAATTCGCTATCGAGTCGATCGATAATTTTTGCCGTCCAGAGCAGTTCAATCGATACATCCACGATTTGAGATGTATAATTATTACATGGATCGTCGATTATAACGATTAAAAACATAAATGCACTCTATTATTTGCATCCCTTTACAAATGTATGTACTGTATGTGTAATATCCTCTGAGACCCGCAAAGCGAACTTGTATATGAGAAACATTTTGTACAATCGTGTGTTAACTACTTCGTGTGAAAAGGTTAACGAACCATATATATATATCTAATGGATATTGTAATGCTATAATAGATGACTGAGACTACGCTGAGATTCTGAACGCTTTTCTTTACAATGGTGCAGGTGATTGTCTTTGGATTTCGATTTGCGGGTTGATCAGCGATTCACAAACAATTCCACGTGTGTAAGTACATGAGTGCAAATGAAAAAAAACGACTAGAGAGAAAACTAAAAAGAAACTTTATCGTATAGTAGCTATAATTAACGAAACGGAAATGTGATTATGAGATTCTATATTCTATGGAATCGTGGTATCGTTGTGAACTGCTTTCTCATCATCGATCGCTCATATGTGTGTACGAAATTGCTATTGCGGTTAACACATGGGTAAAAAGTATAAATTGTAGACAGACGAACGGACAGACAGACAAACAGACGTGGATCGGAGGCATGTAATACTTAGGCTTACAATACTGTAATGGATAACATTATACACGCATTTGATTTCCGCCGTTTCCCTCAACATTCCCGGCTAATCGTGGCCATTGATTTTTATTTAATTGCCGCGTATAATCAAGGACGATAAACCATCAATGAACGATGAAAACGAGTCGGTCAATCGAGCAACCATCAGAATACATTTCTTCTTTATTATCTACGATTCGGAATTAGGGGTCTCTTTCTTTCTCTCTCTCTTTCTCTCTCTCTCTCACTTTCATTCTCTTTCTCGCATTCTATCGCTCTGCCTTATACAATATGTAATTCTCTCCGCATATTCGTATTTACAATAATTCATTACTCTAATTATCATTCCATCGAATTCTTTTCTTGTGGCCAACGCAAAACGATTATTTGCTCCTTGTTGTTTTTATCCTTCGCATCCTTGAACACTCTTCGGCCATTGTGTGCATTTTCATACGCGCGGAAACAATTATACGTATCTATTAAGCTTCGTTTACACTGACATTCACGGATCCATTTTTGAGACTAGGTTATATGTACAATTATATTCGCTGATTTTCCTATCATCAATATAAGCTTAATAAATACGATTTGTCAATTATGATTAATCAGTCGTCAGATATACCAACACGAAAAAATGTATAATATTAATGCACATGTGTTGCGAAACGACAATTTATCATTCCCGAAATTGAGCTATACGCGTAAGTATTATATACTTATACAAAATAGTGCTATCGTGATCGTGTGACCAATATTATTGGTGAAAAAAATTCAAAAGTTATAGATTACACGACAACGATGCATTGTATACTGTATTATGGTAATATGTTTCGCGTGATTAAAAATCCAAGACACATATTTGACGTTTGCTGAGTGATTATGCCAATATTGTAAACAATAGAAATATAGATCCGTGATTACGATCGAGAGAAACGATTACGTTTACAATTATGTAGAAAAAACGCTTTAGAATTATATTAGCGTTTATAACGACATCGTTTGCGATTTCAATGTGAACGAAGCTTGATGAAGAGAGGGCGTTGTTATCGGCGCATGCGTCAGACCGGAGCGAATCGCGTGTAACGAATGTGACCACTGTGCATGTATATATGTAATCCCGTATGTTTTACAAATAAATGCGATTTTCATGCGCATACGTTCGTTAGTACGCGTATGGAAATGAAGTCTGCGTGGCGGTGTATAATAAATAGAATATAAAAAAGAAAGAAAAGAACTATAGAGACAACGATGTAGTACGAAGGATGATACAAATAAAATCGATGATCGCATGGTTAATTTGTTGAATTCGCGAGCACGTGTTCAAGTACGCATTTGAACGTGCATGTTCAACATTTTTGAACGATATAATAGGAAAAAATAAAAAAAAAAAAAAGAAAAATGAAGAAAACAACAAATGGCGGATTCGATGATTATAGGAGTCAAAAATTCATCGTTTTACTCGCATCATGTCGTTTTTTTTATCATTACCCCGCCGAATACGCAATTTATTCGCTATTAAATTTGATATTTCTTTTACTAGTAAATATAGAATATCGAGTGTGATTATTCGTAGCGTAATGATAGCGGATAATAAATATAATACAGATCTATAGATAAAGTTCGGTATGATACAACTATAATACAAAAATTTTATTTTTTATTTCTCGCTTCGTGATCAGTCTCTCTTTCATACATTACCATACTTTCGTTCGTTCGCTCGTTCTTCTTTCGACAAATTCGATTGAAGCGAGGAATTTCGGATTTTTTCATGACAATACTTCACATTTCGTGAAAGTGTCACGGTTGCAAGAACCGCGGTCGGAACTTACAGATTTGTCGCACCTTACATAATTTTGTAACACTCGACTATCCAATGAGCGATCCTTGTATTTTCGAATGTCACACGTGTCTCATAACACACGCACACGTTATATTCTATCACACTTGGCCATTTTCACTCACGCACTCTTCACGTGTCATATATAAGATTTTACCTATTATACGGCACTCTCTTAAATTCCTCTGCCTCTAAGATGAGGCAAGAGTCACTTGTACATATTTAATTAGGAATTTATTTACACGCGTGCTAATTATCCTGGTCGCGACTCTTGGCAGAGTATGAACGATTCTCCGCCATTACAATATTCTTCGATAGATTTCGATTCGATTATTGGCGCTGACGTCGCGATCAATCGTAACTTATCGTTTGATTCGATTATCGCAACGAATACGATCAGTGCTCGACATGATCTTCACAGTGAAGTAAAAAAATTTACATTCGTGACATGTGAGTGGGAATATTATAGAGAAAATAAATGGTAAGTACTATATATATACTAAAATAGCAAGTTGATTTAATTCGTATTAATTAATAATTAGCTTCTTATATAAATTTTAAAGTGATTAATCGATTTGTCAGTTACAATATTATTTCCATAAGCGATAAAGGAATGGGTGACAAAGAATCGTTCGTCAATCAATATTATCATCAGTAATCATCAGTAATTCGATTTAACTGAAATTTTCATGCGCGAGGTTATGATCTTTAAAGGAAAGAATTTTCGCGCTTTTCTGACATATATATATTTATCATTATTACTATAGATATATTGCATCTCGTTTGAGGATAGTTAGCACGCTGTTCACTTTGTTCTTTTTCTTCGTATTTCCAATAAATACCTAGAATTAGCGTAATGATAAGAAGGACAACCAATACGACTACCATTTATAGTAGTGATAATAGTGGGCATACTATAATAATGTCTAGTAGTAGCGTTTCTTCTCATTTCGTCTTTCTTCGTCTTTGCAATCTTAGCTACATCTTCTTTCTTCGTTTCGAATAGTTTCAATATGGCGTTGCTGCTCGTGTGTCGTGCGTGTCTCTTCTCTTGACATTTAACGTTTATTTATTTTTTACCAACTCTTCGTTCTTCTTAAATTCGTATTCTCTTTTATTTTCATTAAATTTTCGTTTTTTTTTTTAAAGTTATTCGTTTTTGTCTTTCTTCCATCCCGATTAAATTTTCTCGTTCTCTTTTTCTCTCGAGGCAGTCCGACCATAAATCGTGCACGTTTTATTTTTCACGATCGAGGGACGGCCGCGCGAGTGCACGTGCACACGCGTGCCTCAAGAAATTAATTAAACGTAGGATAATCACAGAAAAAGGGGTTTCGACGTATGAAATATACGTTCTCGTCAGTAATGTTGTCACTTCACCGCAATAATTGCGGCAGAATCGCGCTGATCAACAAGCTTCCCATCAGCACTACCAACAATTGGCTGTACCAATCTTGAACACGGCTGGAACTCGATCCATTATAAGTCAATTCTTCGTTCTTCACTACTTCGTTCGGGTGGTCTGAATATTCCTCTATAAACACAAAAAAGAAAATAATTGTTAATTGTATGTAATAATCGATAATCATTTAATTCATCAAATATTAAGCGAAAAAATAGGTTAAGATTTTGGAAAAAAATAGGTTATGAATATCTTAATTATTAGTAATTTAATAGTTTAGTAAATAAATTTCAATTTAAAAAATAGATTCATATCTAAATGAAAATACTCGATGAATATTTGTTCTAAAAAATTTTAATAATGTGAAAATTAAAATATTGCTTTTAATTATACATTATAACTAATAATTCCAAGATCCTAGATTCTTATTTACAATTATATTATTTTAAACTTCCGGATTTTTTCTTTCAAATTAAATTCATTTTTATATATTTAATGAACATAATGTTATTTTAATTTTAAGGAAAGAGGTCAAGAACATTTTGAAATTTCTTCAAATTTCTCCAATCTGAAACAAAACTTCCACGAGCTTTGGTAGAAAAAGTTACTTCATTACAAGAATCAACGAATTATATCTGTCGATATCAGAGCGGAAGCTTCAACTTCCAGGTTCCGGCTTATAGGTGAGTAATTACTATCAACTTTTGTTTTTGCATGAAATGAAACGCATTACGATATCGCATAGATCGTTATCGTAAATCACGAATTATGTGGGATACGATTGGATTTCGAAATTAAAAAAAAAGCATCGAGAAATTCAAATCGTTATTATTAAATAAAGACGGAATAATCCATCTCGAATTATTTCAATTCGATATCTTGGGAACACGAATTTTTTGTTGAATCACGAATTTCGAACCGGGCAGATCACTTCGTTAATGACCATATCCTAGCTATCGATGGAATGCAAATGTGTGTGCATTGCATTCACATTGCATTTTCAAGTCAAATTATCATAGATGATAACATAAAAAAGAGTATACAAAAGTATACGAGAGTATACAAGAGCGACAGATGGTCATCGAGAAAGATGGTTGAATTGAAACCTTGACTACTTTTGATTATTTTCTAGCTTATTTGATTATTCTCTATCTAGCACATATTTCGAGAGTTGAAAGGGTCCCTTTCTATCTATTAGACGTTTTTTACGTGAAATTTTTTAGATAATTTTTTCCTATTGCCCGCGATATTTTTCCTCTGTTTAATCCTTTTTTTTTGTGTGCAATAGATATTTGAAATTTGTTATCTTACTTTTAAATCCAATTTTTAAATCCAATTGAATTGCCACTTTTATTCAAGTTTCGATTATATTTCGAATTTTGTTATCAATTATTAAAGTTAATGAAATCAGAATTGGATCAAAAATTGGATCTAAATGTGAAAGAAAAATCGTATTTTACGGACTAACCCCTCGATCATGGAGGTATGGTTTCACGAGTGGTATGGTTTCAAAAATTTCACGTGCGATCAACCAATGTAAATGATCATTCATTTTGACATAATTCATACAAAGTATCGGGCGATTGTAATAAGTAGAACGAGCTACGAAAAGGGACAATATAATTTTAAAGCTCATTAAAATTTATTTGCTCGTTATTTACTTTATCCGATTTAATACGACCGAACGATAAGCCGAATAAATTACATAAAATGATTGTTTGGCACGCAATGGACCGTCACGTTCAGCTACATAACGGTAATTTAATGATCGAAGCGTCGACGACGTTCCTCTTTGACTCGGTACTCGTGAACGGACGATGGAAAAGAAAGATTTCGCACGACCATGGACCCGCGCTTGCCGTATTTCCGAAAAGAAAAACTATCAATTATGCAATGCTAATAACGAACCGCGTTGATTTCTTCGCCCGAAAAAGAAAAAGAAACGGTTTACACAAAAATAACGAGCAGTAAAGTCGTCGGGTACGAGTGGTTTATCTTAATTTTATGCAACACTGATGCCGATACAAAGTGATAATTATCAAAATTGGACAAAAAGAAAGAGACGATTAAAGACACCTTAACCACATATCGATAAGGGGCAGGATCATTTTCCCTTTAATATACAAATATTACTTAATTATTTAAATCGCTTTAACTATAATTCCTCGTTACTCTATTCCATAATTAAATTCGATTCAACGGATATTTAATCGTAGATTTAATCGTAGATTTAATTCGCGTCGATCGAATGAAAGAAGCCTCTTCTTTTCCACGATTAATTTCGACGAGACGCGACGACGAGAGAAATTTCGCGTAAGAAAATAAAAGGAGTATAAAAAAAGAGAGAGAGAAAAAAAGGAGGGATTGAACAAGTAGGGAGTGAAGGGGAGATAGAAGGAGGGAGAGAGAAAAAAATGAAAGAATCATTGGCCGAGATAATGGTCGCGAGGAGCATCGAGAAACTCGTTTCGCGGCAAAGAGAGCAGGTGGCAAGAGTCGGTGGGGCGGTGTGTTATACGTACTGTTCTTCTTCTTCTGGCCGATCGAGGTCTTGGGCGGCGAGGAGGACGGAGGTCCATTGTGAATCGGAGGCTGATGCGGATGCACGGGGTAGATGGCCGGAGGGGGCACGTGGGGCAGGGTCGGCGCCGCCGTGGCCGGTTGATGATGATCGTGATGATGATGAATGCTGCCCCCTGGGTAGAATCGATCTCCGCCCTTGAGGACGCTCGGTGGTGGCGGGGGTGGTATTCCAGCGGCTCCTCCACCCAAAACAGCGGTGCTGGTCGAGCTGCTGCTTGGTACAGTGCTGCTGGTTACGGCCACGGCTGAAATACGACACACGGATCGGCATTAACATTTTCCTATCTCTCTAACATTCTTATTACATTGTCATGCTCGCGAGTCAGGACGGCCTTTTTTCAGGACGTTGCCTGGTATAACGCCGTGGCCTCGGGTATACTTCGTTGCGGCTATTGAATTTTAGCGTGTAATCTCACCGCCACTTTTTTACCTGGTTCACGAGTTGCGTGCAATTTCCAACCGAGTCTCGATTACTGTTGTTACGCGCGCCCGCGCAACGAACATCGTTCGTTGTTCACGTTGGTGTTTCCAGTCGAATGATTTAGGATAACATCGCGTCGACGAACAAGTTTCGATTTTAACTCGTGGAAACGCCAAATCGCGCACTGGTTTTGCGTAATTTTCAACGGGGAGAATCGCGCGTTCCAACGCGACCGCGTCGACGATTGCTCGTAAATGGGACGAGTGTCCGGTGAATAGCCATCGATTTCAATTACCTATGTACGTATATACATAGATGCGAGCGTGTAAGGTTCGGTTATTTTAAAACGGGCTCCGAATCGAAATACAGACGAGGTTATGATTGCGTCCGTTAAATTTTATTTAATCGGACTGCCGATCATTTGCCGATCATCCGTACGCGTAATAGTAGAATCGCGCGTAAACCGTTACAGTTATAACCGTAAAGGCGGTATCGTAAAAATTTGATAGGTAGGATTTGTGGTTCTCGCAACGTGGAAACCGACCGAGGAGCGTGGATTCTTGACTCTGCGTGCGACTCTGCTTGGTTTAAAAACGTTTATGGAATAAAAAGATATATTTTTATACTATTTTTATAAGAATTTATTTTCAAGGCCTAATTTAATTATCGGAGATTACGGTTCATTTATTAAAACCGATCGACTGTTAATTATAAAACTATAAAGGAAGAGGGAGAAGAAAACATGGTTGGACATAAGGAATGACAAATATTCCGTACACACGGTCGAAACTTCGCAAGCACAAAGAGCGAGGAGGAGAACGAACCTTCACCGGTGGAATAAAGTCGAAGATTAATTTCGCATTTTCGTCGGCTAATTGCCGGCGTAAATGTCTTTCGCCGCGGTCGCGCTCGCGGCGCAAAGAAGAGAAGCCCGTCTGAAATTTTCCGCGAGATTAACATTTCTCGCGGTTCGTGGCTGTTGATAGTAATCGTAGAGCATCGTACACGAGCGTGCTCACGCTCTGATCCCGCAATGAACACAACACAGTAGAGAGCCGCGGAAGGATTTCGAGGTCGGGAGAGCCTCGTGGAATCTTGAATGCCCGAGACTCGATGGAAGAAGGAAAGAGAGAAAGGGAGTTCAGAGTTCTCGGCCGGCGAAATAGCTAGTCATTATGGCGCATGAATCGTCTCCGACGAGTGTTGGGCCGGTGGCAGGGAGGAAGGTGAAAGAGGTGTCTCGGGAGAACGGTTGGAACGAATTAGGGAGAGAAGAGATCGCGGGCTAGAATGAAATAGTGGAATTTATTGTGTTCTGGGTCAGCGTTCGGTCCTCTAACCGCAACAAATGGTGCACGAGTAACAATTATAATTGATAGGGATTATTTAAGAGGGGAGGAGCACAGAGGTGGTCGCGGAGCGGAAGGGTGAATTGCGCTCGAAGCGGAAGATCAAGGAATCGACCGTCTGTCGTTACGGAAGGTCCTCCCCTTTGTAACTAATTAGGAGATAATGAATTTATGACGTAGACTTTTTTTTTTCCGATTCGCTTCATCCCCCTGTTGCTCGTGAACACGGTGAGCTGATGCATTGACGCGAAACCGTGAAGGTTCTTAAACGTGATTTACACGCGAAATGAAAAGGCGGCGCAGACGACGTAGACAACGACTATAATTTCAGATTATGATAATCAGATCCATTAGAATACTGGTCGTACATGTGAAATGATTCCTTGCGGTAGGACAGAGGTTTTTGTTCGTTGCACGAGGATATAAGGATAGGTTACAGAACGATCGTTGTAAATGGGATTTGATTTTCACTTCCCGTTTAATTTCGAGTATCTTTGGGATGAATATTGATATTTTTATTCGATGAAAAAAAATGAATACTCACAATTGTTGCGCGATGTCGCTGATGACGACGAGGTGTCAGCTTCGTTGCGGCAGCACACTTTGAAGACCACCTTCATGTTGTTACTGGTGCATCGTCCACCGATGCGTTTGTGGAGATCGTCCTTGGACGAAGTGCTGATGAAATAGTAATCGTGGCCTGGCAGGAACTCCAGGCCTTCGGGTTGCGGTGTGAACGGCCTGAAGGTGATCGTGAAGTACATAGTCTTATACGGGTTGTTACAGACCGCTATCACTCGCGGATTCGGATTTGTTATCCGACATGTTTCGTACTCCTCTTTGGACACCTGTGAAACACATGATGCATCTAAGCACAAGCTACCGATGCGAATCGAATGGCAACGCTATTTATTTGT